ATTGTTGGTCTCACCCCTACTAAAACCACTTGGAGGAGCGCTTATCCCCATCGTCTCCAAAGATTACCTGCCTACTACCTACTACCTAAGTACCTCCTTGCGAACACCAGCCAGCTGCTTTCATTCAGCCGTTTCTGCCCTTTGAGTGGTCCAGCACCAGTCACCTCGCCTCCTTTCTCTGGCCACCCTTTCTTTGTTTTTGACACAGATTGATATGATATTGCATTGTGTCTTATCAAAGGGACGGAAACAAACGCCAGCACTACTCACTACGTCTGGCAGTATTGCATCGACCAGCGGGTTCCGACGTTCCTCCACGGACCATGCCATACCTTAGACCGTACATTAGTCGGTAGTACGTACAATATTAATCTTAGGCGGCCTTGCCCTTATATTATTAGCTTCGCCAAGCCTGCGGAAAGGGAGTGCTGCCGTCGCCAATCACCGATCGCGTCGTCGTCTCATCAGCAGGTTCAGGTAGCCTGGACGGGCGCCCAGCGGACACAGACCAGCCCAGCAGCGCCCTCCACCAACCAGCCCAGCTCCTCAGCCCAGACCTGCTACACCTGCTGCTGGTGCAAGCAACGTTGGCACCCGCCTTGCTTCATCCCATCCCGCAACCACGCTTGTGCACCCCTCCCTGTGAGGCCTTCGCTCGCATCGCAGCCGTACATCATACCAGAGCTTCCAGTCCGCATCGCTGTCTGTCCCCGAGTCCCTGCCACGCACAGCACTCGACTGTCCGCGCACCGAGCCCTCTTTGTTTTCGGTCGGCGCCGCGCGCACGTCCCCGGCCCCTCTCGAGTCTGGGTTGACCTGGGGTTGAGGCCGTCAAGTCACCTGGCCGTCCTTCTCTCCCGACCATCCACGCCCGTCTTTCGTCCCTCTCTTCTCGCATCTTTGGGTGGCCTCGCTTGGCCACTCTATTCCGCAGCGCCGCTCGACCATTGCCACCGCCGACGATACACACATAGTCCCTCTTCACAATGACGACAGCCGCTGGTTCATCAGCGGCGGGCCCCCCAGCTCCTGTGCCCCAAAACACGCATGGCACTGCCAATCCAACGTCGCCCCCAACGAAGCGCGATCTTAAATCGTGGTGGAAGAGCTTCAAGCTTGCTCCCAAGCAGCCAGAACAGCCAGGTACGCTCAACATACACTCTTTCCAAGCTCTCACTCGCGTAACCCCCCTGCTGGTGCATGGTGATCTTGATAAGGGTCAGGATCGGCGAGAATTAGCACGCGGTGGAGAACGCATTGGAGCTTGAGAGCTCTACCGTTCTGTGCCACAGCCTCACCCGGCGATTCTGCTTTCTGACCCTCATCTCTGCGACCACGTCGTGACGCCTTCGCATCTACCCCATCAGACCATGCGCGCTGCATGAATACTGTGCCAATTTCCCGGACCGCGTGTGCTAACTAGGATTAGAACCCCGTGCGCGGGGGATCTTTGGTGTCCCTCTTCGGCAGAGTATTACCTACGCAAACGTAGCCATCTCTCTAATTGATGAGAATGGCCAGAGCTACATTTACGGATATGTGCCGATTGTTGTTGCCAAGTGTGGTGTCTTCTTAAAGGAGAAGGGTAGGTTGAAAGCTGACCCCATGGTTGTGTGTGCCTGAGCCTTTGTACTGATTTCCTGCTAGCAACGGGCATCGAGGGAATCTTTCGACTCAGCGGTTCCGAAAAGCGGATTAAGGAGCTCAAGACGCTCTTCGACTCGCCCGACCGGTACGGCAAGGGTCTTGTGTGGGAAGGGTATACCGTTCACGATGCTGCAAACGTTCTACGACGGTACCTAAACGATCTTCCAGAGCCAGTCGTGCCGCTGGATCTTTATGAGAAGTTCCGCGACCCTCTGCGTGGAGCGACGAAACAGGCCGCGGGCGATGCCGAAGGCCCTCAATTCATCGAGAACTTTGACGAACGGGGTGCGATTAGGAAGTACCAGAAGCTCATCACAGAGCTCCCCCCGCTCAACAGACAGCTCCTACTCTACATCCTCGATCTTTTGGCTGTCTTCGCGGCTAAATCAGATGAAAACCGAATGAATTCGCAAAACCTGGCAGCTATTTTCCAGCCGGGGATGCTATCGCACCCAACCCATGCCATGGCCCCGGAGGAATACCGTCTCAACCAATGCGTCATCATATTTCTGATTGAGAACCAGGATCACTTCTTGATTGGTATGCAGGGCACCGCAGCCGACGAGGCCACCAAGAAGGCGGTCGAATCTGGCACACCAGCCGCAACACCAAAGCCAATCACCCCCACTGCAGTCCAGGAACCTGAAATTGTCCGGTCGTCCTCGAATGCAAGTGCAGGGGCACAGAGTGTCCGCCGGGATGGGCAGCTTCGGAGGAACCGTTCGGTCCATTCGCGTCACTCCAACAAGGACGACAATAGCGCACCCAGCAGCCCAGCACTCACAGCTACGCCGTCGAGCGGGCTGGGTAGGAGCAACACCGTCCCGTCAAAAAGGTCACCTGCAATTGCAGGAAAGTATAGGCGTGGGGCTGGTAAAAGCCCAAGCCCTCAACCACCTCTGCCACTCACTCAAGCCCACCCCACTGAGCAGCGACCTGAGAAGCCACAGAGCCAACCTGGACACGAAGTCGGGAGCGCAGCCGCCCCAGTACAGGCAAACGAGCCCGTAGGACCGGTTCCCGCGGCTGCCGTTACCAGCCAGGAACACTCACCAGTCGCTCAACATGAAACCAGCCCCCAAAAAGAGCGCCACCCTCAGAATTTGTATAGCCAATCGCCCTCGGAAGAAGCTAAGAAGCAGTCCAGCAAATTTCGGATGATGAGGCCGCCCGGCCCCCTGAATCCTAGCGCACACAGTTCAAACGCATCATTGCCACTCTCTGGCTTGTCTCCTAGCTCTGAGATTAGGAATCCTATGGAGCAGTACCACCCAGTATCTCCCCGAGTGGTCTCAGGCGGCCATCCGCCAAGCGAGCATGGTAGTCACGGTCACCTTCACCCTGACCAAACCCTTCGAGGAAAGAAATCGCCACCTACCTCATTGCACTCGTCATTCAATGATGGATCGGATTTTGAGCAAGGTGGGGATGGGAATATGACCAGTTCATACGACCTTGAAAAGGAAAAGAAGCGGAGATGGCGTCTTTCACGGACAAAGAACCCTGACCCTGGACCAGGTTTGGTATCGCCCTCCGCAATTAGATCAAATGAGTATGCCGAAATGAGCACAACCTCGTTCGGAAGTTCCAGCCAGAAGCCTCGTAAGAGCTTCACAGGCGAGAGCTATGAGCCGCCCACCCTTGTAGGCTCGGATTCGACAAACTCCCAGAGCTTTAGCCAAAGGAGCAACAAAGAAAAGGATGAACCCAGGGGTCCTATCGGTTGGATCAAGAGCAAGATGCGCGAAGCCAAAGAAAATCACGAACATAGGAGGAACAAGTCACCGCCCGCGGAGCCAACCCAGAGCAACTTCTCCCCCGGAAAGAGAAGCATGGATATGAGGCGAGAACCACTTCCACGTGAGAGGTCCGTGGAGAGACTCCCAGAAAAGCCCGTCGACGAGAAGGTAGTGCCGACACAAGTAGCTGCCCAACAACCGATCCCAGCACAGCCAACCCACGCTCCTGCTGAGCAGCAACCCAACCAGGCACCGAGTGCGACAGCTCACCCAAACACAGCGCCGGCTCCAGAGCCGAAGCTTGCTACTCTACCTCCTCAACCTGCAACTCCGTCTGTGCAGCATACGCCCCCTACCCCGATTGTTGGACAAGCCTCGTTCGGCCAGCCTCCAGTTGTCAGAAGTCTGGTTGATGAAGCCTTGAATTATAAGCCAGCTACTGAAAAACCCGCTGTTGAGCAACCTGTGGCTGATAAACCGACAGAAGATGTTTCCAACGCCCAACATGCTTCAACGGACAAACCATCAGTTGAACCTCACACAGTAGAGAAGGCAGCTGGAAATGGAACCCTAGCTCAACCGGTTGTTAACGACAAGGCACCCGCTGAGGTAAATGCAGCCTCGACAGAGCAACCCCAAACAGCTGTGGGGCATCTACCAAAAGAAACATCTGTGGTAGAGCAACAAATCCAGCCACCCTCCTCCAAGGCGAACGAGGAGCCAGCAAAAGCCAGTCATGAGACGAATTAGAACGCGTTGCATATGATTGATTGTTTGATTCTTCTCAACGGCCGATGAAGGGAAGGTACTAAAAGAATTGGGACTTGGGCGTTTCTTGTGCATATAGGCTGAGGTTTCTCTCTCAAAGCCGTCTTCACTGTTTTCCCGTTTTGATTTTGATTTTTGTGTATCCTGGGGTTTTGGTTTAATGAGACTCAGTAAGCAGCGGTTTTGGTCAGTCAAAGATTTATTATCATGGCGGACAGAATAGCCTCATTCTTCTTTTATTCCGGTTCTGTCACTGGACGGTTCTTCTACCTTTTGTTAGTTGTTTCTTGCCCCCTTTTTTGGTCTCTTTATAATGTTTTGTGCTGCACCCAAACCCTTTCGAATATTCCCCCTATTTGTTGCTACATGATATATTTATCTATTCGTTCTTGTATCCAGCCACGACTTGCCTCACGCACCGTGGAGGAAGTTTCGCGTTATTACTCTTATCTTTACGTACACTGCCATTTTTGGAGTCAGTAGGTTATTGCTGCTATCTTTACGACGCAATTCACGGAAGAGAAGGATCGGACGTGCTTTTTTTTTTGTCTTGCCCGCTGGCAAGTCTGCCTCCCACCCCCCCCTGTATGGCGGCCTAAATCGTATTCACGATTTGCAGTCATGCCTTGGGGAGAGGTGGGAGGCTTATCACACGCGGCTGATGATTATTCCACCTTTATGGAAAGATGGGCTGCGTGGTTTATTTTCTGTATAATCTGACAGATCCTTTTTTTTGATTAAAATAGGTTCGAGATATAATTACTACATATTTCAACATGGGCCTTCGTAAATAAAGCTGTTTCCTTCTTCTGATGCGGATGTAGTTTATATGAAAATAATCGTGACTCAAGATGGAACGCCGGCGCCGTCGGGTGATTCCGCCCGTGGGGTCTTGCCGTACACGCCCGTGTCCCAGACGACGACCCTGCCGGCCCTGCGGGAATCCTCGTTGAAGAAGCCGTTGAAGGCGGACCAGACGCGGCGGGGCCGGAGGCCGAGGGCGCGGCCTTCGGGGGTGGCTTCGGCGAAGTCCTGGAGCCAGGGTTCGATGCCCTCGAAGCCGACGATGTAGCGGGGTGCGGGGAGGGCGCCCGAGGGGCGGCTTGGGGAGAAGAGCTCGTGTGAGAGGAAGTGGAGGGGATCGTCGTAGAACCGATCTGCCTCGTCGCGGTAGTTGTCGCGCTCGGGGCTGTTTGGCTCTGTGTGCAAGGGGGGTTCGCAGGATAGGGCGTAGGCGTTGAGGGATGGGTGGAAGAGGTGGGAGCGCCAGGGGGTGGAGTGGCAGGGCATGAGGAAGAGAGCGAACAGGGACTCGTTGGGGGTTGAGGATTTGGCACTGGATGGGTGGAAGGCGCTGTATTCAGTGCGGAGGGCAGAGAGGACGCTGACGGTGCCGGCTTGGTGGAGGAGTGAGAGGTATCCGGCAAGAATGATATTTATGATAAGAGCGCCGTAGAGGAGGGGTTTTCGTCGGGTTTCTGGTGCTGAGTTTGGTGTGGCTGAGGTGGTGAAGAAGGAGGCGACATAAGGAGCGGCAAGGACGTTCAGGATGGGGAGAAGTGGGTAGATGAAACGGACCTCCTTATGCGAAATGACGGAGAGGGCAATGACGCTCACATAGACGGACGAAGACAGTGTCCGGAGGATGTTGGCTTGGTCGTTGGTAGTGGCGGATGGTTTATAGAGAGCATACAAGGTGAAAGGCAGGCTGGTGATGGAGAGGAGGGGTAGGCCTTGAAGAAGGTAGTAGTGCCAGGGGTTTCGTCCGTAGAAGACGGCGAGGGCCTTGGACAGATTGAAGTAGAGAAAGTTGTAGGGTGGGAATGTCCAGAACCCGTAGTAGAGGCGATCGGCGACCAAAGAAAGACCGATGACGGCGGATCCGCACAAGATGATTTCCCGGAAAAGAACGAGTACGGTCTCGACTGTCAACGGAGACGAGCCTCGCAGTCCAATTCTGGTAAGAGCCAGGACGACGATGGGAGCCCAGATAAGACCGTTGGTAGGACGGAGAATGCAGGCCACAGCAGCCAGGAGAAGCGATGCTCGTAGTGGCCAAACATCACGATGGATACTTGTTGCTGGCTTTGGGTTCTCTTTATGAGACTTTGCTTCGCCGAGGAGCTCATGCCAAGGGAAATAATACAAGGCCATGATGGTCAGGGTGGTCTCGAGAGAGTTGGAGAATGTTCGGACTGAGCAGTACCATTGCCAGACGTTGAAGAGTTGGAGGAAGAGCTATGGGAAACATTAGCTATCTGGTACTATAGCGCGATGCATGATACTCAAATGGAGGCAAATTGAGACTTACGGCAAAAGAAGAGACATTATTGTCTTGGGGGTAGAGCTTGACAGCCAGCTGCCAAGTATACCAGTCTCCCAAGGCAGCAAAAACAGCCTGCACAGCTCTTGGCGACGATACGACGATACTCGCCCTGAGTGCGTCACCAATGGGGAGAACTTTGGACACGTAGTGTGAGAATATATACCCAGCCGAGAATATGGCCGGGTGAATAGATGAACGGAGTTGGTGATGCCATTCCTTGAGGTTGGTAAGTTAGCAATGAGCAGGAGAAGGTGTATGTGTGAATATACACATAATGTAGAGATGACAAGTATAAGTAAGCGACATACCCAAGTTAGCCAGGCGCCGCTACTGGAACCAAAGGCTATGTCCCAAGCAGGCTCTAGGGCCTGGAAATACTCATCAGGCTGAAAGAAAGTGGTGACCCAAAAGGCGTTGATGAGGCGGATGATAAGGATGGCACGGAGAAAACCGAAGCGGTGGTCAGAAGGGCTGGCTGCCATATCGTGGTTTGGATAGTTGAGCTATCAAACTGGCTGAGATGGGAGCAAGGCTAAGATGGAGAACACTAGGAACAGAAACGAAAACTATTGGCTGCACAGAAGAGGCAGCTGGGTACCTCGGCTTGCAATTTGAAGACCTGAGCTGGAACGACCCATCAGGGGTGAGGAAGAAGCCCGGTGAAGCGTGCTGTTGCAGCGTGTCGTCACTTACAAAGGGGCGATAGTGAGGCACAGCTACAAGATGGTACAGTTCTCTGTGGGATTACATAAGGCGGCCTTGTATCGCTGTTGGTTGCTGGTCTGAGATGAGATGAGATCATTGCTGAGGCTCATTATGTAAACAGGTGCCTTTGGTGGGCCACAGCACCAAGACTGGCAGTCACGGGGCGGGTTCACGTGCTGATAAGGAGCAGCAGAGGTACGGCCGAGATGTAACTTGGCAGGTGCAGTCCCCTGCCATTGTGTTCGCCGCACATAGAATTGCAATGTACTTTCCTATTCTGGTACCTCGCCTCCATGTACCGGCTTCCCCAGGCCCAAACCTTCCTCCGCTAGTACAGCCATCCATCCATCAGCGCCGTGAAACCGCACCGAGAGAACGACACCGCTCTTCCCGCCACCAAGACTGACTCGAAGCGCCGGCGTCGTCCGCGGATTCGAATTGCCAGGAAATTGATGCGTCTCGGCGTAGGGCTGGCCGTATCGACGAACCTGGGGGCGGCCAGCACGGGCTCGCTGCGGGTTGGCCGTGTTTGACTTTGAGGCATGGATGCAGCTGGACCCGGGTCCGGGCATCCTCCGGCAGCAACCAGGGCGGCGACCAACGTTTCTGGAGAGCAGAATCCGGTCTTTGCGCCCACCAAGAGGCGGCTGCGCGCTATGCAGGCACCGCACGCGGGCGCAAGGCCTTGTCGCTACCTACGTAATCCCGGGCGCTTCATTGGCCTGCAGCCCACGGCCTTGCAGCCAGCCCCGGAAAGCCTATCTTTTATCGCACCACCACCGAGTTGCTCCTCCACCCGTGACTCGCTCTTGTAAAGTACTTGCGCTTAGGGGTATAGCGTCGGCCAGTTATCCACACAGAGAGCCGGATCAAGAGGCGAGATGGCTTGTCGCCTTCGAGTATAATAGATCCAGATACCCGTCAGAGTTTCTGGTTTTTCCAGATGCATTCCCAACTTCCTTGTCCTCCTCAGCCTTCCTCCCTTACCGGCTTGTCTGGAACTTTGGCGATTAGATAACCTAAAGTATAACCTTCTTTGACCCCCAAGGCTCTGGTAAGCATTCTTCCCACACGGTCAATTGGGCTCCCTTCTGCCAATACATACCTGTCCGATCCCTTCCCTCCAATCCCCTCCATACGCTAACCTGCTCCCCGGTGGATAGACCATCCGTCAGATCTATCTCTCAAAAATGGCCCCCCACGCAGATGCCCCGCGATCTGAGTCCGCGGTGGACCCCCGTTACCACGCCCCGTCCTCCAAAGCTGCTATCCAGGCCGAGAATGAGTTCGCCGCTCACAACTACCACCCTCTCCCAGTCGTCTTCGCCAAGGCCCAGGGCGTCAATGTCTGGGACCCCGAGGGCCGCAAGTATCTTGATTTCCTCTCTGCCTACAGCGCCGTCAACCAGGGCCACTGCCACCCCGAGCTGGTCAAGGTGCTGATCGAGCAGGCTGGCCGCCTGACTCTCAGCTCGCGTGCTTTCCACAATGACGTCTTCCCTCGCTGGGCCGAGAAGGTCCGCGACCTGTTTGGCTACGACATGGTCCTGCCCATGTGCACTGGTGCTGAGGCTGTCGAGACCGCCATCAAGATTGCTCGCAAGTGGGCATACAAGGTCAAGGGCGTCGAGCAGAACAAGGCCCTCGTCTTCTCAGCCCAGGACAACTTCCACGGTCGTACGGTATGTATTTCCCCCGCCTGCTCGCCTTGGTGTCGTCTGTAGGGACGCAATTGAGCAAGAACAAGACAGACAGTCTGTATCCGGGACGGCTCCGGCTAACATTGATAATCTTCATTAGATGACTGCCATCTCCCTGTCTAATGATCCAGAGTCCAAGGAGAACTACGGTCCTTATGTTCCCAACATTGGCTCTTTTGATCCCACTACTGGAAAGCCCATCCGCTACAACAACATTGCCGATCTGGAGGAGGTCCTCGAGCGACACGGCAAGGACACTGCCGCCTTCATCGCCGAGCCAATCCAGGGCGAGGCTGGTGTTGTCGTCCCCGACGAAGGCTACCTGGCCAGCGTCCAGGCCCTCTGCAAGAAGCACAACGTCCTCTTCATCTGCGACGAAATCCAGACTGGTATCGGCCGCACAGGACGCATGCTGTGCTCCCAGTGGGCGGGTATCAAGCCCGACCTGGTCACCCTCGGCAAGGCCATCTCCGGCGGCATGTACCCCGTCAGCTGTGTCCTGGGCAGCAAGGACGTGATGCTGGTTATCGAGCCCGGCACCCACGGTTCCACCTTCGGCGGCAACCCTCTCGGCGCAGCCGTGTCTATCCGCGCCCTCGAGATCATGGAGGAGGAGGACCTCACAGCCAAGGCCGAGAAGCTTGGCAACGTTTTCCGCGACGGCATCGCCGCCCTCAACACGCCCATCATCAAGACTATCCGCGGAAAGGGTCTCCTCAACGCGGTCGTCATTGACGAATCAGCTGCCTCCGGCCGCACTGCATGGGATCTCTGCCTGCTGCTCAAGAGCAAGGGTCTATTGGTAAGTCACAAAAGCCCTTTCCCCGCGAGGAGCAAACAAACCTGTTATTCGCTCTGTTCCATTCCCCACCCATCCCCTTTCCTGAGCTGCTGCTGCTGCCTACTCGGCCTTCCTCCCCGGCGGCTAGGGGGCTCGAGTGGTTTGCCTTGTTTTGATGACCGCACTCCTCCTGTGACTATGAGTCGTACTAATCTGTGGTTACAATGCAGGCCAAGCCAACGCACGGCGATATCATCCGTTTCGCACCCCCACTGGTTATCACCGAGGAGGAACTGCGACATGGCCTGGACATCATTGCCGAAGCGATCAAGGAGCTTCCTACTGTGGAGAAGTCCAGCGGCCACTAGACTGACTACTCAGACAATTTAAAGAAACGAAAAAAGTACAAAAAAAGAAGAGATAAAAGTAAGATTGTCCTCTGTGCGATGGTAGAACCTAGATGGGACGGGGAGAAAAGGAGCAATCTGGGGAAACGGTCGATGAAAGCAGAAGGAAGTAACGAAGACATGTTACCTGCTGTCTTGATCTGGATCAATTAGGTTTTTTCTCATACGGGCCAGCGAGGCTCCGGCGTCTTTGGATTTGGGACTTGGGTAGTTTGCATATCAATCGATCAATCAATTCAATGGATACCCGAAGGCTTTACTCCGGTTCAAGGTGACGAGCATGCACTATGTATCAACACTGTGATATCCGGCCTGCAAGTCAATGTTTCCGCCTCGTGGTCACGGCAGGGTCCAACAATAGGAGAACCACCCTCAGGAAGGACAGGGGGACACAAAAGGAGAGAAGAAACCAGGATTGTTTGCTGTCGTCGGTTGCACGAGACTGAGCCTTGATGCGAATAAACCCCAGAATCGAGGGAGAGACACGGGGTGGCTGGGAAGGGCTGCTGGGCAACGTGACGCAGAGCGAAGCCAATCTGCGCACGGCCAGATTCGTAAAAAGAAGGAAGAGAACCGGGATCGCCATTCCAGCATATGCCGGTCTCACAGGGTTCTACGTACCCAATTGATACTGTATTGTTCCTTTTTCTGGCTCGGTTAGAGGGAGGCGAGCGAGCCAGCTTAGGCGGTGTCCGTCGTTTCGAGATTCAAGGGGATTGGGATGTGCACTGACGCTGGATGGAGCAGTCAGACCGATGACCGGGGGCTATGTGATCCGGACTGCGAGGCTGCGTTGTGGAGCTGGGGCAAGCATTCTGCCGTGTTTGTGCTTGTTGCCTTGTGCGGGCCTCTGATCCCTACCCTGCTTCTGCCTTCGGTGTCACTGAAACGGGAGAGACAGAAGGGAACTTGCCGGTGCTGGCGATTGATAGGATAGCAGCAGCATGGCTTGTGGGAGAAAGGGCGCTGATGCCTGGAGGTTGGCCTCCCGACCCCCGGTTCGCTTTCAATCTCTACGGGATGGTGGATGGGCGAGACCAGCGACGTTTTTTTGTTTTCATTTTAGGTATCCCGTTGGTGCACACGGCTGCATTGTCGAATCAGATGATGCCAGCTAAAAGAAGCTTACATACATAGCACTAGGGGAACGGATTGGGGACGACCGGATACTTGGCTACCTAGCAAGGGGCAAGGGTCAGGGAGCGAAGTGTTGCCAGAATAGAATCCAGGATGAATGTTCCTTTGTTAGTCGAATTGGCCGTCCTCATGAGGGCATGATATGCGGGCTTGTGCACATCCATCTACTGATGGAGGCTTCCATTGAAGCTGGGGGGTGTCATGCGTGACAAGAAGCGGACCTCTCTCTTCAATTGGCTATCGGGCGGCTTGTTGGCATTCTGCATGTTGAGTTGAATATGTGGAGAGGGATAGGGGACTGCAGCGATAATACTACATAGGCAGTATGAGATAGGAAAGGGGAGGGTGACGCTAGATGGCATGGCAGCCTCAGCCGGGGGTGTGGCATCCTACTTAGATAGATGCCGACCTCAAGCCATACCGGGGATAGTTTGTGAGCCAGCGGAGGAAGTAGGAGATAGCAGGACGAGACCTTGATCTGAACGCAGGGGAGGACTTGGGGGAGAGGATTGAAGACATTCTTCCTGGCGGGCGTTTCAGCGCTTCGATCCAAGTTAAGGTCTGCGAACCCGCGTAATTGGCGTGCTCGATTGCACAAGGCAGACGGCGCCAGGGCGTGGATTGTGATGTGATGCCGATGCCCTTGCTATAGTCCATCCTAAGGAGATATGGGGTGTGCGCTTCCTATTAGCGTAGGTGCCTGCGTGGACTGGACCGGTTGGTTCGCAGATTGCCAGATATACTACCTCACA